TATATGTTTTGCAGTTTTTAGTTTTTTTTAGTTTGGTTTGCTTTGTCTAGATAATCAAAAGTGCTCTATTTAATTGGGTGATTATCATGTGTTAATGCACAAATAGATGTAAGTAAATTAAAGTAGAGTTAAACTTAAAGGTATTCTGCAAGAAAGACTATTCCAAATATAGAAATGTTTTCTGAGTTACTGATAGTTATACAATTAATAAACAATATTTTTATACATTTTACAATACTTTTTTTTAAAAAGTCTAGGTAGCTTATCATTGATAAAATCAGAGTAAATATAACAAATATATAGATGCTTTTATTTTACTTTATAATATATGCATTTAATTCCTGTTAATCAGTTAACTTTTTTTTTGCAATCTGATTGGCCAGTATACAGATGATTTGCAAAAGTTATAATATAATTAGTTGATATTTGTATATAACTATATCAGAAGTTATTTTTATATTTGGGATAGTTTTCCTTGGATGGGTAGCTTTATGTCTATAAAATGCTAGAGTGAAGATTATCTTGGATCCTATTTGGATGCAATAAAATCACAAGATTTTATATAACAAAAAAAATATAAAAAACAGGAGAACCTATAAAAAAATGTAAATAACCCCAAAAATTACTATGATAACTAAGTTCTAACATCTAAGTAAAAGTTTTAAAAATAAAATTTTACTTATATGATACAATCATTAATGTTAGATATATAGTAAAATTTTAAGATACTATGACCTATATTTTTTTGGCCAGCAGCTTGAAATTTTTTGAAGATAAGGATATCTGAAACTTACAGAGTAATTTAGGTGAAGTATAGAAGATTATTTAATAATGGTCATCTGGTAGTAAGCTGGTACATAATATATATAAAAATATATAGTATTAGAGCAAATTGTAAAATAGCAGTTTATATAGTAAGAAATAAATATATCATATATAAATATGTTAGAAGAATAATTCAGTAACTTAAAAGTACCATAATGTTGCTTATAGTTTTAGCTGAATCTGAAAATGTGTACCAAGTTGATGATGTAGTTCCAATAATTTATAATAACTGATTAAAAAGATTAAAAAAATAGCATTGCCAAAAATTGATAATCAGCATAAACTTTTTTTTCTTTAACAAAAGTTTTTGATAGACAATTTTAGTAATATAATACTCCTCTCACTTTTAACTCCTAAGCTTAACAAATTTTAAGAACTTTTATATATAAATTATAAAGAAATTAAAGTAAATTGGCATAGATAATATCAAATATAATAATATAAATTATAATAATTTAGATATTTTATTAAAGTTAGAAAAAAAGATTATTTAAAAAAAAGTAAATAATAAATATAACAGATGGCAGTTCAGTAAAAATAGCAACATTAGTATTAATAATAACTTAATATAAAACTTCAAGATATACAACATTCTGCGTGTAGCCTTCATTAGCATAATCACTTGTTAAAAAAAATTTAAAACCATATCTTAATGTTGATCTAGAGCATGCAACATAAAGTTGGCCATATGAAAATACAGGAGTTGGTAAATAAACTTCTATACAATTTAAAGTTTGTTCTTGGAACTTATTAATAATAAAAGTAAAAGCAGATTGTATAGGAAACTGATGATGCTTAAAAATAAAGAGCAAATTAGTATTTGAAGATATAAGAAAAATGAATAAAAGAAAGATATATAAGCCAGCATGTAGGTCAGAAATTAGTTGAATTTCAATAACATGAAGAGCAAAAGTACAACAAATTAAACAGATTCTATTGCAGAGTTCTAAAAAAAGATTAATGTTACAGAGAAGTAAGATAGAAGCACCTATCTTTAAAGTTAGTTTATATAAAGATAAACCACTTATGTTAATATTGTTCAAAAATTCAAGTAGATTAAGGTGATTGAAATTAGTTGTTGAGAGGTCATCAATAGTATCTGCACTTAAATAATTTATTTTATTGCCAGGAAAAAAGCTTATAATATTTAAATTGAGAAAAGAAACATCAGTATTTTTTGGTACTAAAATTTCATGTTCTAATAAATATTAAGCATTAGTAGAATTTGATATAAGATCGGAATAGACAAAATTGATCAAATTGTATATCTTATTGGATGAAATATAAATATTATCTGGAAGTTTAATGTAATCATTTTTATCTTTATTTCACTCAATATAATCTTCTTTGATTTGTAAAAGTCATTTAGCAAAATTTATATCTTCAATCGAAAAGAAATTATGGCTGGCTTGTTGTAAATGCATATTAATTGTTAATTTTATCACTTGAATATGGGGCCACAAATAAGATCAGATTAAACTTGAGTAAACAATATCTTCTCTCTTTTCTTTTGGTACAACAGGCAATATTTGTCTAAAATCTCTACCAAATACAATAATTTTTCTTTCAAAAAAATGAGTTTGTAAAGATGAATTTACAGCTTTTATTAAATTTCTAAGAGTTCTATTAATGGCTTCAGAAGCATAATAATGAGCCATGAGTGCTTTATTCTACAATATAAGGTCTGTTTGTTGTAAAAGAAGTGCTAAATTGCTTCAATAAGAGATATTACATATTGATTCTTCATGTAATTCAAAAGGAATTTTAAACTAAAAATAAGCAGTACTTTCTTTCTTTAATAAAAGGGCTGCAATACTGAAAGAAGCTACTGCAATTGCTATACAATGAGAAAATCTGATTTTAGCTAACAGAATATTATAAAAAAATGTTTTATCTGAACCTTTAAGGCCATCTACAAAAAATAATGCAGATTGATTATTTTCTATAATGAAAATAATTGCTTCATATATAGCATATTGTTCAATATTAAGTTTGGAAAAATTATTATTAAATTGATGTTCAAGTAATTCAATATTATAATGTAATTTATTATTAATTAAATAATTATAATGAATAAGAGTTTCAAAAACACATATAGGAATAGGCATATTAGGAAAATTTTCAAGTTGAGTTTCATTTTAAACTAAAATATGTTGTAAATGAATTAAAGCTATATTATATTTATCAGTATTACAACTTTAATTAATTATATTATTAGTAAATACTGTGATGTATTTTTTCCAAAATAGCTCAGGATTAGTAAAAAAACAAAACATAAAGAATAGTAGCAAATAAATAACATAGCTAAGCTTCAGATTGTAATCAACTAGTATCTTCTAAACATGCATCCTACTTTTTGTTATCTTTGAGCATTCCTAAAGCATTGCAAGCATCTTTAAAAGTTAATAAATAATACTATTTATAGTTCAAATATCAGCAAAAGATTTTGCACCTTGTACAACATTTAAAAGCATGCAAAGATAAAAATGTTTATCAGCTTTTGGATGTACAAAATACATTCATCTAATAGTATTTCTTCACTGTCATAGTTTCCATTCTTTGCATTGTCTATCATATACCTAATGTGTAGAAAAATCTTTATATATAAGTGCACAGACTTTATGATATTGCTTGTTTGCTTTAAATTATGCTGTTAATGTAGTTTTAGCACATGTTCTATAATTAATAACTTTACTTAAATTATTATAATTATGAAAAACAACTATGTAATCACCTGAAAGATGAACGTGAAGGCTTATAATATCTGGTTTTTCATGATGTAATTTATAATAGAATAATCTCCAAGCAGCTTCAGAAGCAGAAAGATATCATGCATCTATATAATAATAAGTTTTATTAATATCATTTAATACAATTGCATGTGATGAACTTACTTCAAGTGTTGCATGATTATGCCTCTTATAAACATATTTAAAAAGATATTTTATAACAGATATAGTAAAACATATCTCTATATTAATGTGAGCATCATATTTAGTTGTAAGATATAGATTGTGAGGCACTACTCAATGATTATTTAACTGTACATCTCTAATATTTACTGATTTTCCATTATAACAATAATGATATACATGATAACCATTCTTATTTACAGTTGTAAAAGTGCTAAAATTATGTAGGTATCTTTTAGTACATTTTCTATTTTGCATATAGGATGCATTAGAGTAAGATGAACTACAGGAGCTATGCATCATTGTATATTAAACAGTAGCAAAAACTAGTGGATGTAGATTGTTGTTCAGAATTTTAGCTGAAACTATGATATTATAATCTTCAATAGTTTGTAGTTTATTATCTAAGACAAGTATTAAAAGAATATGTGAGTGTGAAAGGTTACATTTCTGAAATTCAACTACATATATGTATGCTATAACAATTTCAAAGATGTAATGTTTTAAAACATCATTTATTAAAGTTTTAAGCTTCATATTAAAAACTCTTGCTGTCAAATCAGAGTGATCTGATGCTAACTGAGTATTGAAAAGTTTAGCAATGATTTTGGACCATGCAAAATTGCATATAAAGGTGATAAAAAAATCTGGTTTACCAAATGTATATACAATTGTCATAGGATCTTAATATAGTTGTTGCATCTAATAGAGCTTTTCTGTAAAGCTAGAAGAAAGAATAATTTGTTTTTCTATATTTGTCATACAGTAGATAAATTTCAAGACATCTCATCATATATAGTCAAAGTATCTTGTAGTCTACTATAAAGTTCTGCACAAATTTTTTTCTGGTTGAGCTTTAAAAAGTTAAGTCAATTTTGCTCTACACTTGCATAGGCATTTACTAAATATTGCTAAAAAAGATATTTAGCAAGATAAAGTTCTATTCCTTTTTCTGCTCTGCCTACTTGTAAACAATATGTATAAAATTGCATCATTGTAACATGCTTTTGCACATCTGAATTCTGTGCCAGGTTAGTGCTGAACTACCAATCAGATTTTAAGATTAGGTGCAATGTTATATGATCAGAAAAGTTTAAAACAAACATTCGCCTTGATAAAAAATCAAAAATCTGTTTAAGAAATCATCTTTCAAGCCTTAATTAAAAGTTTTTCTTGAATGATTTTACTATATATCTGCTAACCTCTAACCTTAATACAAAATGCTAACTTTAACATCAATGAATTTTAAAGAATTTTGCTCATTCAGCATGTAATCGACAATATGCATAACCTGGCATAGAATTCAGACATGCCATGCTTTTGAGATTTATCATTATTATTAACATTCAAAGAAGCATTATTATTATTTAGATTAGCTTGTGTTTTATTACTTAAATGTGAAAGATGTGCACTATTATAAATAAAAATATTAGGATGCCAACTGTCTTCACCTAGTAGAAACAGGAGAACTTAATGTAAAGGAATATATGCTCTATGTAGTTTTAAGATACATTGAAGACCACCATTATAAGAATGAACTATAACATCTTGATTATGTATTTCAGATCTATTATTAGTATTTTCAACTATAATAGCTGCAATTTCTAAGGTGCATGGTATATTATACTATCATGAATTAGCAGAGTGAGAGTTTTTTATTATCATTGTTAAATTAAGAGATAGATTTTGGCATAAGATTGTACTTGTTTGCTGAAAAACATGCATATATGAATTAATATTATGAAGCAAAGTTTGAAGTTTAAAAAGTGTAATTTTATTTAAAGAAGGCATAATATTATGCCTATTTTTTTTTCATTTTCAGTATCAAAAATATAAAGCTGCACAAAAGATGATAGTTTAGTAGATAATAAAAAAGGAGAAATCCAATTCTATGATACATTTCATCATATATACAAAAACTATATGGGCCTCTTGTTCTAGTAACTTATTTATCAATCTTGGCACCAATAGATGTAAAGCCAAAGTACTATTATAAGCCCAAATATTTTGTCTAAATTCTTAAAAGTGATCATTATCTTCTGTAAGAAGAGCTATTAGCAATAGTAGAAGCTTTTGAAGAATAGAAAGTAACACCTTTCTTTGTGCACAGCAAGTAGCAAATTTAGAAGAAGTTTTAGATAAGTTTAAACATCTTTCATCTATCCATTTTAATGCTCTGCAATGTATACATAGATGATTCATTCTTTCAAGTGTATAGTGTTTAAGTTTACTTGAATCAAATAGATATATTCAAGCCTTCAGAACCAAAACAGATCATATTGCTCTATTAACAGTAGATTCAGTAATATTAAGATATGAACTAATATTTAAAGTAGAAAGTCATGAGGTGTAGAACCTAAACATTATATGTTTGAAGGTAAAATCAAAGAAAAACTAGTAGTAGTCAAAGAAGAAACAGAAAAATTATTTTAATTTGTTAAGGAAGATGGTTGCATTGTGATAGTAGTAATGCTAAGATCATGTAAAGTAAAGTATTCCTAAGATACTGGGTCTAAAAATTATTTAGTAAAAGAAGAACTCATAAAATAGGTAATAGTAGTAAGAGATATTAATGAAACAATATTTTGGAAAAATAAATAAGGTTGTACTGATATAGTAATTGTATTAAGGCCATCTAATCGAGCATTCATTTCTATACACTATTGTTTATGCCTTTCTTTTTGTTTTGCAGTTCAATGTGCATATGATTCTCTATTTAACTTATAGCATCATTCAATAGATGGTTTAGAGATTTTTTTCATACTGTTATTTTTTTATTTAAAGAGATAAATGTAAAATCAAAAATTTAAGTGATTGAAAGGATCTATGATCTTACTGATGAATTAATATATCTCAATTACAGAATCACATGAATAGAAAATAGTATATGCTAAAAACATATTACTAAGCTAACACATATAAATCTTTTACACAAATATAAAAAAGCAGTAACAAATTTAAACAAATAACTATAATACATAACACAAATATGCAATGCTCAAAATTTGTGAAACAGTATTATTTTTTTACTATAGTAATAGATATTAGTTTTTTAAATATAGTAAAAAATATTTTTATTAGTTATTAATATTAATTTATTAAATATTTTTCTATTTTATCTTACTAAATATATCTAGAATATTTAAACAAGCTGCAGTAAATATAAAAATATTTTGCAAAAATTTGAAATAATTTGTATTATTTTAAGAAATTTATTTTATAGTGCTATAGCATTATAATGCTAGAATATTATAACTAATTAAAATTTAAGATTAGGTGTAACATGTAGATCATTATTTTGTATAACAAAAATATCAAATTTTTAAAAAATAGACCTGTGGGTCGATAGCAAAGTGGTTATGCTCCCAAGTTACCAATCACAAGGTTGCCAATTCAAGTTCAACAGAAGATGAAAACTGAGTTAGAACTATGATTATTAATTAACTACAGCTAACTGTGAACTACAAAAATAGGAAGATCTTTGGTTCTCAGATTCTTAAATAGTGACAGATCTGATATAAGAAGGCTATGATAATTAGGGGGCTGAAGATAATAATAGAACAAAGGAATCCCCGATTAGAAATAGTCTTGGTAAAATTCCAGAATAAAATAGAAACACAAAATTAGTATATAAATAGTATTGTAAATGTATATAAATAATGTAAAAATGTAGGCAAGGTCCTGATAGAAGGTTCTGTGAACTTGAAAATTTGAACTAATAAAACAGCTATTAGCTGTGGCCCACTAGCGACTATGCAGCAAAAAATTAAAAAATAAAAAATTTAAAAAATTAATTATATCTCAAAATTTTAACTAAAAAATTATATTTTATATATTAATAAAAAATTTCTTGCAAAATTTTAATATAAGCTATGTCTTGTCTAACTCTAACTTTAATTTTAATTTTAATCTAATTAAAAGTTTTATTTTTTATAAAAAAAAGATAGGTTTATTTTACATATTATACTAATTATATATTTATATATAGAGTAGCACTATAATACGTACTATAGTACTATAATAATATTTTCTTATTTTAAAATATTTATTTTTAATATTAATTACAATTAACAAATTATATTAAACAAATAAAAGGCTAGAAGAAGGTATAATTTTTTTTTAATTATAATATTCAAGTAGAAACTTTATATATATAGAATTATAGTTCTAAAATTAAAAATTTCTAAACTATATTTATACTATATATAGACACTTAATATAACATTACATTTCTTATTTTTTATAAGTGTTATAGCTAATTATTTTAAATTAAATTCTAGCTAAAATAGGCTAAAAAAAATTTTAAAATATGATTGTTAAATTACAACTTATAAATAGTTATAATTTGCAATATTTTAAAAATATTTTTATAATTTTTAGAATTTTTTAATTATTTTCATATTATTTGCATTTTTTTTTTTTTTTTTTTTAAATATTAAGATAAGTACTTGCAACTCAGGATTTTATTGATAGTATATTTGGCTAATGGTTGTATTACAATCACAAGAGGCAACTATGAAGAGAGTATACAACTAGCCACTTATACAACTTTAGTTATTGTCTAATTTAACTAGTTCACCTGAAGGTTCTACACTAGCTGCCATACCTAAAACCTACTTGTAGATTCTCTATTTAACCACTCTGTTTTCATATCCACTCACCTACCTCTGCCTACTAATGACCCTAGCTGATACTAATGAAAATATGCCATGGCTACTAAGTCTTTAAAGCTGTTTACTTACATAAGAAACCTTTAACCTTGTACTAAACCTTTCAGAATCTTCTGTATTCTATTCTTATAGCTGATCTAGTATTGTTATAACTGAGACCAACACTGACAGTTAGGGTGTATCATTAAACTGCTATGCCCTTGTAGAGTTTATTTCAACCCTGGTACTAACTTCACAACATATCCTTACTACTTTGATATTCAATTCAAGTTTCACCAAGCTGCCATTTCAGATAGCCCAAAAAGGTAGTACAAGACTATACCTCTGGTTTACATATTTGCTAATATGTACTTTTTTTCACTGAAACCTAGAAATTTTAGTGGCCTGGTTGGTTCATCCAGTCCCTTCTTAAAGACTGGCACATTTGCCTAGTTTCATAAGTTCTAGCTTCATTTCATATGTCTAGTCTTTACAGTAGCATCATTGAAGGTTTAGGTTATCTCTCTACTTGGGTCTTTCAAGTGAGCTTTCATTTTTCTACTTAGTTCTTGTGATTTACATGGCCTAAGGACTTATCTTAGGTTCACACTGCCTAGTACTGGTTTGTGTTCCCTTATACAATATTGTATAAATGCCTAAACCTTCCAGTTATGCTAATATGATATAGGTTACAGGTATTTATCTTAACTAATCATGAAAGACAGTTAGCCATAATACAAAAAGAATTGCAAATTTTTACTATCACTAGAATTTGAACTCTAAATCTGCTACTTAGAGGTTTTGCATATTTTTAAATATTTTTACAATATTTTGATTTATGTTAAAATGGTTTACTAATTTTTATTATTATTTAATTTAAATTTATCTAATAAAAATAAAGATACTAAAGATGAATTGTAAATTTTTTTTTGATTTTTTTAATTTTCAAATAATCTTTTTTTTTAACTAAATTTAAGTAAATCAAAAAACAGAAATTTAATATTTAAATAAAACTATTTTGTTTTTTTGTTTTATTTATTAATATATTTTTTAAGTTTTACAAATTATTCAAAACTATTTAAATATTTTCAAAATTTTTTATCTTTACTTATTTTTTATTTGTATTTAATATATTAAATCAATTAAATAAAGTTAATACAGATTAAAAATAATTAAATTTGCTTAATAAATAATTAAATAAAAAAATACATTAAATATATTAAAATATGTAAATAGCAATATTTCTTTTTTTTTTGGTATTAAGGTAAGGCCTTGCTTATATCTTTATTAATAATTTAAAATAGTTACTTATATATATGCTATGGCTGAGGCTAATATTTGCAGTCAAGACTAAC